AAGGAAAGAAACAAGAGAAAACAAAGAAAACCAAGATATATTTAAAATAAAACAAATTATGTTTTAAAAATTAGTCCCTTACTCAACAACTTCAGTGAGTTTGCATTAACTTAGTAATATGTATGTCCTACTTGTTAAATATAATAGAGTAACTGCCTATTTCCACTTCGTTTCATGTCTTTTCTCATTATTATAATGGGTACCATTATATATCCAATCCTATTCTAAGCTAATTTGCATTAGGCTTAATGCAATTTGGAACCTTTAAGGATTATGGATATATTTGGTTTCTCATTAGTTTCTGACAATCAAAATGTGCAAAAGAAAAGGATTACTATTACTGTATCAGTATATTTAGTGGTTTTCTTTCTAACACCCTTTTTATCTTAAGGGGAAGAATGGAAGCAACTGAGCTCTTTATCAAATAAATTAAAACTTACTCCGTACTTGCATTTTCTGAGCAAAAGTTACGAAGACAAAGAGAGAAATATCCATTTGGGTCAATCTTTTAAGTCTTCTATTATCCTGAGTGTCCAATCTCTGTCAGAGCAATCATTGAGTAGTAGAAGAGATCCTCTGAAAAATGAAAATACCGTTTTAAGGCTTTTGTTTCCTCGATTTATTTTGTTATTGTTATTGTTGTTGTTGTTATTCCTTTTTTCTTTTTTCCTTGTTTGTTTGTTTCTTTGTTGTTGTGGGTTTTCTTCTCCAGGTGCTTCCTCTATGCTTGTCACTCTCCTAAATGAGTGGAAAAGTGGACAGTTGAGTAAGCTCTGAAATGATCTTGCTGTCAGTTATGCTAGAACAACATGCGCTGGGATCACTTCAACCTAACAGAACAAAACCATACCTAAACATCAAAGTGAGTGATTTGTAAGGTGCTGTTTGTCCTCTGTGGAAGTAATTTCACACCCCACTTTCTCCTGTGTGAAAGAGATTAAGCGAGTTCAATTTTTACACATCATGTCATTGTACTAATGTGTACCACGCCGACTCAGACCTATTTTACTTAACAAAGTGAGACACTTTCAGGACTTATTCTATTAATAAAATGCTTTGCATGATTCAAATAAAATGAGTGATTAAAATGTCTCCAGAAGGACCATAATTTTTTAGAACAATTCTTGCAGAGCAGAGGATGACTGAGTTATTTTTTCCCTCCTGTATTTGAAGCAACCTGGATACCTTGAGGTATACTTAAACTTTAAAGCTTGATAGTAGGGAAGCTATTTTAATTTTGTAAAATGAATCAGTTAATGCAGAATACGTTCTTCAAAATGCTAGCAGCCCTGATAAAGAACTAAGTTGTTATAATCAGGTAACTGCTGAAGTGATATCTTAGCTCTTTAAATTAGTTTCGTTACTCAGATCTATGATCTATGAAGTCTGTATCAGCTAGTAAACTAAAATTCATCTCAAATTAAAGTTATGATTTTCTTTGACAAGACAATACAATGTTCTTTGTCATGCAATGAATTATATGGATATACTTGTCAGTATAAATTTTCAGGCAACAGTAATAAACTATTCTATCATTCATTTTATTGCAGAAGAAAATAATAATTTCCTATTTTTACTTACATAGCATTTCCATTACTCCTTAAGAAAGATTTGACAATACTTCAAACTGAGTGTTATTAAAAAACATTCTATTACTGTTCAGTAAATATATTACTTTCTTTTTTATTGTACTTACCGCTCTCCAAAGAAGGACTTGTTTTGATTACACTGATCTGCTCTGGCATAGGAGCAGCCTACTTCAGAAACCTGTCCATACATAAGAGTAAGTGCTTTCCATGAAAGCACAGTGACATTGCAGTGACACATTTTACAATATTTCTCTCACTGTCCAGTTCTAGCACCCCTAAACATGGTCAAAGCAAAGCAGATGTATATTTTTAATAAGCATGTATTAGTTAATTTGCTATAATTGTAAAACCCTTCTAATTGTTCTTTAAAGTTAATATGACATGTACCTTTACTGTAATTTCTTCTCAGTTTTGATTAGACAAGAAAGTCCCCAGACTATTTTTTCACTGTTCAGTTTTCAAAGGTTTTGATTATAATCAGCAACATATTTAACATTTTAAATTGGGAATATTCTGTACTGTGTAACAGTGCCCATTCAAGCCTCTGAGAAGGCACTATGCTGTGAGCTGAACTTCACCTACAATTCTCCTTCAGGTAACAAAGACAAACATTTGAGTCTTTGCTGAAGATAGAGTATGTAAAACTGGTGCCATAATTAAGGATTCAGAGGTAACATATGTGACCCACAAATTCGATATTGCTGCATTAGGCATGTATTTAGGAAGTTGTAACTTATCAATATGAATTTAAATTCCAGTTGGTCTGGAAAAATGCAGAATAATATTTTAAATTCATGGATCTATGGTTTTGCTTCATTCTGTTTCATGTTTGTAGCATGGAGGGTAAAGGAGTGCTGGAGACTCAGGAAAAAAAAGAAAAAATAAGACTTTCTGTGCTATGCTAATCAATATATTATTTTCTCTGTTGTATCTTTCTTCCTGGAAAATGAGTAGTAAGTAGAGGAGAAATCAGTAAAATTTAAGTTTTGTTCTTGTTCTCCTGCAGGCCAAAATTTAAAATGGATTATCAATATTGAATGCTACTGTTCACAGTGACTGGGATATTCTCAGTGTATTCTCAGTCTCTCCCACAGTGGGTGGGAAGAAAGGGGTAGGGTGAGCGAGCAGGCTGCATGGGTTACTGACTGCACTTAAACCACAACACAATTCTATTATGCAATATTACTCTTCAGATAATGCACCTCACAGAGCTGCAGCTTTTGTAGATTTTTTAGATTATGTATTTTTCAGTGTTTGGGTTGTGTCTTTTTCTTTTCAGTAAATACCCAAGACATGGGGTCTGTTTCTGTGTTAGGAAAATGCTTAGCACATTTGAGCTCATTAAGTAATAAAAATAACTACAAGTATAAGTGCTCTCTTAATGTGTTTTCAGTGGTCACACTGTAAGCTCTTTAAGAGAGTTCTCTTAGCCTGGTATACAGAAAATTTTCATTGGTGGTATGAGAAAGGCAGGTAAATGTTTATCATCATTTAGCAGGAAATACTTGTCATAAGAGCAAAGAAAACAGTGGTGGAGCCAATGCAAAAGATATTTTTGCATTTCCTGTAAAAGAAAATATTAAAAATGGTAACATTATTTGGGAGCACCAGCTTGATTTCATAAATCTTAGAGTACACTTCCTTATGGAATGCATTATCAGAGACAAGTGGAAATGTTTAGGATGTGGAGCTCCAGGTATTCTTATGCATCACAGCAGTAAATTAATGCCATCAAGAACTGACACTGATATAATCACATGTAACTTGCTACTTCAAGTACTGTGCAGATTACCTGCACAGCTTATGGTTAAGATTAAAAAACAAAGATGATTCTTAGTGTTGTGTATTAAAATACGAGAACTTACTAATGTAAGAAGCAGAAAGGTGGTAAAAAATAAAGCCATGTTTCATTGTGGTAATATTACTGAAATTTGTTTTTTAGAGAAAGTAATACCTTTCATGTTTCTTAGTTAAAGGAAAAAAAGGATTAGAAAAAAATGTATGGAAGAATGAGAGAACAAACAAAAGACTGCAGTATTCTGATAAAAAATATGTAGTACAATAACATAATTGCACATCTGAATACATCTAAAACAAGAAATGGAATAGATTAAAATTCTCCCAAACTTCACTGTGTTGACACTGCAAAAGAAAAAAAAAAAAAAAGACCAGACAAAAATGAATGTCATTCAAGCAACAGTAACAACATAGGACAAATAAACATTCATATCAAGGAGATACTCTTAAAAAATGGTCTTTCTACAGGTCAGATTTCTCTGTATTTCAAAGAACAAAGTTATAATAAAGCTAATGAGTTGTTTGTTAGGAATCAGATGAAAAAGTTGAATATACACTGCAAAACCCCTAATGATTCTATTCTTTGTTGTATAATAAGCAGAAAGAAAAAATAACATGCACAGAATTATTTTGGGATTGAATGTGCTATATGAGCTAAAATTCATTCAGTCAAGATTCATTAGAGTTACTTATTCTCTGTATATATTCAGGTACATTAAAAGTAGAGTATTATTTCAGTTTTATTGTATTACCTTTTTTTTAATTCATTTCAGTTTCTATCTATGACAAAAATGGTCCAGATCTTAGTTATGTATTGCTAAATCTGGTCACTATGCTCTCACTGTTAATGATTAAAAAATCCAAACACTTTATTTATTTTTAAAATAGTTTCTAAAATGAAAGTATGTTGGGATTGAATGTGCTATATGAGCTTGTCGTGGTTTGAACCCAGCCAGACAGCTTTCACTCACTCCCCCCCCCCTTCTTGCCCTCCCCCTACTCTCGGAGGGATGGAGAGGAGAATCAAAAAGAATGCAACTCCCACGGGTTGAGATAAGAACAGTTTAGTAACTAAGGTATAACACAAATCACTACTGCTGCCACCAATAATAGTAATGATAAAGGAAATAACAAGGGAAGAGAATACAACACCCCATCACCAGGCGACCGATAACTTGCCCCCCCAGCCCGACCAAGCACCCACCTATACCTCCTCCAACCCTGCAGTCCCTTCTAGCCCCTTCCGGGCCACCCCAGTTACATCCTGGGCATGACGTGCTGTGGTATGGAATACCTCTTTGGTCAGTTTGGGTCAGGTGTCCTGTCTCTGCTTCCTCCCGGCTCCCCCTCCTCCCTGGCAGAGCATGAGGCTCACAAAGTCCTTGGCCAAACCAAAACATCATTGTTTTTCAACTCTGTTCCCAGCTGAAAGTCAAAACACAGCACTGCACCAGCTACCAAGAAACAGAAAAATGACTGCTACTGCTAAACCCAGGATATTATCCACTCCTTATTCCATACCATTCATGTCATGCTCAGATCCCACATTTTCAATATACCATCACTCTTATCTAAGTGCACTCTCATCGTAATGCATGGACCAGTCCTTATAAAGCTGCTGAGTCCATCTGGTCCATGATGCCCAGCTCCATCCCTTGTAACAGTCTTTCAGAGCACAAGAGGCTGTGTGCAGTGCTCACACTTGTGAATAACCTGGGCAAGTGTCCATTGCTAAGTCCACCCCTCGATCATGAGTCCATCTCTATGTTACATCTCTGCTCTGATGGCCTTAAGGGTCATGGGCCCACCAGGCTCAAAATAATTCACTGTCCTTCCATCTCCAATGTTTCCAAAGCACTGGAGGGGCCCAGTGGACTAGATACTTGCCCATACTGTCCCACATGCCCTGCCACTCATGACTCTCCAGCCTTGGGGAAAACCTCTTGGTCCTCCCATATTGTTGTCTAACCCCAGACAAGACCCAAACCCGACTCTGCTTAAATTTTGGGATCAGACACAATGGTGGTGGGTAAAACACACTCTGCATGTGTGCCAACATAGTGAACACCATCACAATCAGCAGGCAGGTCCCAAGGGTACCCAAATGCCATCCAAAACCTTCAGAACTCTCAAGCGATGCTGCTGTACTTGTCACTGGGGCTGGTGTAGCTGCTGTGCTTGCCGGCTCTCCCACCACCAGCTTCTCTTTTCCTGAGTCCAGCTCTTCCTCCTCTGCCTTGCTGGGAAATGCTGCGGGGTCTCCTGCGTCCTCCTGGGGCTCGGCGGGCGGCTTCCGGGGAATGCTCTCGGCCGTCGCGGGGCTGGGCTCGGCCGCGGGGCTCGGCTCCTCCGCCGCCTTCTCCGCTCCTCCGCCGCCTCCTCCCGCTCCTCGACCGCCCCGACCTCCTCCACCGGCAGCCGTCCCCCCGCGGCCTCCCGTCCCGCTCCCGCTTGGTCCCCGGGGCCGCTCTCCCGGGCCGCTTCAGCAGCCGCCGGCTCCCGGGGCCGCACCCCCTCGGCTTCCCAGAGCCTCACGCAGACGGAGGCGAGGGCGAGGGCCAGGACGGTGAGGAGCAGCCGGACGGCCAGGGACCAGTCCACGGCCACGTCCGTCCCGTCCTGCTGCTGGAGCCCGCCCGTATTACAAGTGATTGCCATAAAGTACAGTGAGACAGGAACCTTAGCCCAAGCCCCACACTTGATAAACACTAACACAGCAAATACCGGCTCTAAGTAAATTACAACATTCTGAAGCTGTGAGATCAAGAGGAACAACTCTGAGATCCAATAAATCAGCATTGTGACGGTCAGATCTGTCGTTATCTCAACCCCTTCGTGCCCCACGTTGGGCGCCAAAAGAACTGTCTTGGTTTGATCCCAGACAGACAGCTTTTACTCACTCCCCCCCCACTTCTTGCCCTCCCCCTACTCTCGGAGGGACGGAGAGGAGAATCAAAATAATGCAACTCCCATGGGCTGAGATAAGAACAGTTTAGTAACTAAAGTATAACACAAATCACTACTGCTACCACCAATAATAGTAATGATAAAGGAAATAACAAGGGAGGAGAATACAACACCCCATCACCAGGCGACTGATAAATTCCCCCCCCCCAGCCTGACCAAGCACCGACCGATACCTCCTCCAACTCTACAGTCTCTTCTAGCCCCTTCTGGGCCACTCCCAGTTACCTCCTGTGCATGACGTGCTGTGGTATGGAATACCTCTTTGGTCAGTTTGGGTTAGGTGTCCTGTCTCTGCTCCCTCCCGGCTCCCCCTCCTCCCTGGCAGAGCATGAGGCTCACAAAGTCCTTGGCCAAACCAAAACATCATTGTTTTTCAACTCTGTTCCCAGCTGAAAGTCAAAACACAGCACTGCACCAGCTACCAAGAAAGAGAAAAATGACTGCCACTGCTAAACCCAGGACAGAGCTAAAATTCATTCAGTCAAGATTCATTAGAGTTACTTATTCTCTGTATATATTCAGGTACAGTAAAAGTAGAGTATTGTTTCAGTTTTATTGTATTACCTTGTTTTAAATTTATTTCAGTTTCTATTTATGACAAAAATGGTCCAGATCTTAGTTACTTATTGCTGAATCTGGTCACTATGCTCTCACTGTTAATGATTAAAAAAAACAAACACTTTATTTATTATTAAAATAATTTCTAAAATGAAAGTAGAGGAGAAAACGTACTGTTTTCTGAATGAATTCCTATTTTTTTTTTCATAGATCAAGATGAATGTAATCCAGAATGTTGTCTACATACACTAATTACCATCAAGGAGACAAAACACAAGAGACTACTATCAGACTTGTGTACAGCGGCGCACACCAGTATCTATACTAAAGCAGTACAGAAAGGTCGCAGTAACTCTGCACTGTATGCCTGCAGGACACAGGAACTGCTTCTTGTATTTTACCTACCATCAGGATTTAAAATTAGAAGGTTGAATTAAAGATGGTAATTCTTAGAAAAGTCACACAAAGCTTAATTTCCTATTTTTGGTCTTTTACACCTACAATATTGGAGAACAGGTCTAATTACACTTCATTTTTAGCAAATCTGAGTGAAGAAAAGAAGAAAGAAAGAAGTTCTTTTAAACTCTGAAAGTTTCTTTACTACATACCTGCAGCTGTAATATCATTATATATAGTAACATATAATAAACAAGAAACAAGCTGGAAAAAAATCCTTAATAATAAACTTGCATACTTTATGCAAAGTAAAAGGACACTTTTATGAAAATGCTAAATTGATATTTTGTGAAGGAGTGTACTTACTAAAATCAGCTCAGTGTCTTGTTTAGTCTCTGTGGTATCTGGGGAAGTTTTCAGGATGAAAAAATGATTTAAAAAATCTGGGTGATTCATAAGTTTGTGAGTTTTTCCATGTCTTTCTTAAGGCTTAGTAGACTGCACAGTTGAACAGCAGACATAGTGCACAAACCTACTTCCTTTTTTTAAGACTCTTATGAAAAAGTTCTTGAAACAGGTCCCTAAACAACTCTGCTACCAAGTAAAACAAGGCCAGAGATTGTTCTGGCTTTCTCACAACCTGACTGTACCCACAATTATGAGGAACTAGTTTGGGTCTCTCCTGAGCCTCATGTAATGGTCTTATGGCATAGTTGCAATTTTTTTTTTTATGTTTTAATTTCCTTTTTTAAGATCCATAAAACCTGAAATGATGTAAATGTGGGAATCATATAATCTGAGCATGATTTCATAATTTAATTGATTTTTAGGTTCCTCCTCTGGGATGTTGCATTCTTATGCATAGGGGAGTACTGGAAAGAGCAAAAATGTACTGCTAAAGGACCATGGCTTGGTGAAGTTGCCTAACATGGTGCAGTTTCATACTCACTGCTTGTTAGGATGATATGCTGCACTTTCCTAAACTGTACTTCACAGAATCGCAGAAATCCGTAGGTTGGAAGTGAACCTCTTGAGATACGGTCTAGTCCAAACACACTGCTCAAGCAGGGTCAGAAAGAGCAGATTATCCAGGACTATATCTAGTCATGTTTTGCATAACTCCAAGGACTGGCAGTCTAAAACTTCTCTGGGCAACTTGTGCCAATGTTTGACCACCCCCAAAATTAAAAATAAAATAAAATATATAAAAATTAAATGTTTTCTTGTGTTCAGGTGGAATTTCCTTCATTTTTAATTTGTGCTTATTGCTGCTTTTTCCTCAGTGAGAAAACTCTGGATCCATCTTCTTTGCACCACCCCTTCAGGTGTTAATATCTCCTGACAAGTCTTCTTTTCTCTTGGACAAACAGTCCCAGCTCTCAGCCTTTCCTTATGAGACATGCTCCCAGCATCATGGCCCTTTGATGGAATTGCTCCCTGGTCCCGGGGAGCCTGGAACTGGATGCAGTAATCCAGAGGTGCTGTGATTCCTCTTCTGAGTAGAGAGACACCCTCAAACTGCTGGTCATGCTCTTCCTAATGCAGCACAATGTGCTGCTGGCTGCCTTTACCAAGAGAACACTTTGCTGGCTCATAGTCAACTTTTTGCCAACCAGTACTCGCAGTGATTTCTTTGCAACCTTGCAAAGAATGGATCTGCCTCTAGCATGTGCTGGTGCCCAGGTCTTCCTTAAAATGTCCAGGTATTCCCCAATTGCAAGATTTTTCACTTCCACTTGTTGGACTTCATGAGCTTGCTGTCAGTCCATTTCTCCAGCCTTTCATCGTCCCTCCAAAACACAGCATAAATATTTTGTCTATCAGCCACTCCTTCCTGTTTTCAGTCTGTCTCCCCAAAATGCTAGACCAAAACTATGCCAAGAAATAAGGTAATAGTGAAGCAATATGCATGATCAGATGCTTATGTCTTGAATTCACTCTCCAGCCATCCCTGCCTAATGAAGGTACTGATTTATTTTTCCCTGTTAAGAAATAATCACAGTGTATAGCTTATAAGCTACTCCACTGTGCAGTAGAATTTCTTAAAGCTGTAGTACACATACCTAGAGTACACATCTTTTTAACCAGTCAACAGAACACTGAGTTTTGTCTCCCCATCCTCCAACCAATTGCCTTGATACCACCCAGTTCTATTTTATATTGTTAAAACAACACTAGAGTACTATTTATCCTGTGTGCTAAAGAGTCAGCGTCTACTATGACTGACCCCAAAAGTTCCAGTCAATCCCCAATGATTTTAATAAAACCAACTGGTAAATAACACTGATTTTTAACAGTAGTCAGCTAACAAGGGAATGTGGAACAAGTGCTTACAACTGCAAACTTGACAATGAAAGATTGATCAGAAGCAAATGCAAAATTAACCTAGAGATAACAGTGACAGTATTATGCAAATGAACTTTATTTTCAGTTTAAGCTTGTGAGGTTAAATAACTGATGTACACATTTTTTTATTTGACATCCAGATAGATGTTTTTCCAAATTAACAGGGTACTTTCATGTCCAATTATCTAAATTGTAGCTAGAATTATTTGCAATAGCAAAAAGGCTATCTTAAAATGGCCAGACTAAAACACATTCTACAAATTAAATATCAAAATCAATATCTAACAATGCAATATTTTTTGCTTGATAAAAGTCTGTGTTACATACAAAGCTTCAAAGGAGCTCACAAAATTTGGTTTCCTCTGACTGCTGAGTACTTCTGTACTTCTCTATGCATAATGAAGATGAATACCCACACAAAATTAACCAGTAGACACAGAATTAAACACTAGAAGGGAAGCCCCCCTTTGGCTGAGATTAATAATGGACCATA